CAAAAAAGCTACCATGGGCTCTTTGTGAAACGCTGACAGATAAAATATTATTGGGGACAAAAGCAAAACATGTCTCCAACCATTTTTGTTCGCTGATTAGATGAGGTTGCATATGCCAAGTTTCATCAGAAGGCTGCGTGCTTCTTCAAAGGCCAGCACATACAAAAACAATTTAAATAGGAAACAGGCAAGTATTAGTGGAAAACATAAGGAAATTTATGGAAGGGTAAGAGACAGCATGCAATGACAATATTGGAAGAATAATCACCAGGAGTAGCAGCCTTCATGACAAAACCTTATACATAGCTACTCAGAAGTAGATCCCATTGACCTTTACAGTGATTATTCCTATATAAGTGAGTTAAGCAGGGTAATCTATGTCTGGTCTGTGGCATAACATAGCAAGTTATTTGAGAGGGAGTAACAAATACGAAATGTAAAAAAGGGAAACAAAAATGGATCACCATTCCTTGCTGGGTCATATTCCAGAGGAGTAACAAGCAAATTCTCTTTTGAATCTTAACAACATCTTTTTATTATGATACAAGCTTTTGTCGAGTGATGCCTACTTCATCAGGCAAATAAAGTGAACTCAATTCAAAGTGCTGGCTTTAGCCTACAAAGCCCTAAACAGTTCTGGCCCAGCATACCTGTCCAAACACATCTCCCCCTATGAACCAATTCAGAGGTTAAGATCATCTGGAGAGACCCTGCTCTTGGTCCCACCTCCTTTGTGGTGGGGACAAGGGACAGGACTTTCTCAGTGGTGTCCTCTCAGCTATGGAACTCCCTCCGCAGTGAAATCATGTCAGCTCCCCCCTCCTGACCTTAAAATTGTGTAATAAGTGAGGATGGAAAATGTACAATGTGCAATGACAGCTGGAACGGCCTTTGACTCTAAGCTCAGATTGTGTGGTTTTAATAATGTGTTTTAATTTATATATGGCTTTAAATTTCTGTTTTAATTTATATGTTTATGTTATAGCATTGTTGTTACGGCATCAAATTGTTGCCTTTGTAAGGCCACTTTGAGTCCCCTTTGGAGTTGAGAAAGGTTGGATATAAATACTGTAAATAAATAAATATGTCAGGAATCAAAATTACACTGATGTGTTTTAAAGAAAATAAAATGCAAGTGCCACAGTCACAGCCTGTTCCACTGGATTTTTTTCACTGCAAGAAAGAGGCTTGCTGTTACTTTGTGCCAACTTTTTATTATGTTCACTGCAGGAACACCTCTTTATACTGGTCAGTTGAGGATAACATTGTCTCCATCTGATGAAGTGGACTCTTGCTGGGAAGCTTACATCACAACAATTCTGCTTGTTTTCTATTTGTCCAGCCATACTGGCAAAGCTTCCTGGACAATTCTGGGAGCCACTGTCCCAAAAAGTTGCATTTCCAAGAAAACATCAGTATCTATAGCAATGTTTTTTAAGGAAGAGGAAGAACAATCATATAATTTGCATAGTTAGTCATCTCCATCCTTCAAAAGCACTGGAAGAACCAATTCCTTTTCTTCCTGCAGCCCAGATTCCACATTTACTTTGGAGGATTGTAGGATTCTTCAGAACATATTGTGTGTGTATGTGTGTGTGTTTTATGCCTTAGTAGGGCTGACATAAAGGGAAAAGTCCTATTGCTAGTGTGAATGTCAGATAAAGTCTTTTGTTTCTTTTCTTTCCTATCTGTGAACTACAAATGGGAAATCCAGGTGACTGAGAAAGTGTACATACAATTTATTTATATACTCCTATATTAGCCTCAAAATTTTAGTCAAAATTCAACCCACAAAACCTAGGTCAGTGGTTCCCAACCTGTGGTCCGTGGACCACCAGTGGTCCGCAAGAACTCAAATATGGTTTGTTGCCTCACCGTTGGAATGGGAACGACTGGTCTTGCAAAACTCTCTTATAGTGCCAAAGTTTATTAAATATGGTTTTTCTGTAGGCGACTACTGGATGGCATATGTTCTGTATCAGAAACTAGAGCTGATGTGTCGCTGTGAGTCGCCTCTGGGCTGAGAACAGCGGTATAGAAGTAAAGTAAATAAATAATAGTAAATAAATGTGGTCTATCCAATGCAATTTTCTGAATCAGCATCCCAAGTAACCAAACTGAATCTAAAGTTGACCAAAAACTATTTCGTAACTCTTTTGGTACTAATGTTGGAGAGTGGTTCCTGGTCAAAGTGCTCCCTGGTCAAAAAAAGTTTGGGAACCACTGACTTAGGTCAACCTATCCATAGGCCAAAGTCAGTATTATACATTAATTCTCATCAAAACAAGAACCTCCCCTTTTTTGAGTGGAGTGGTGAAAGGCAAAAGCTTAGTCTGCTCGAGAAGAAACCTAAAAGATAAGCCAGCCTCCTTTGCTTTCTCCATCATGATGACACTTCTGGCCATTTTTTAAATCCTGGGTGGGAAAATGGTGGTGGTTTTATAGTATCTGCCCCCTTGAGGCTGCATTGGTTTCCCCCCTCACTGTGGCTGACACTCAACTTATCCACAGGTTATAGCAAAATCTATAATTTTGGCTCAAAGATCTTGACTTATACATGGAGTTGTCTTATACATGAGTATATATGCTAATGCTATTATTCTATATTAGTATTCACTTAACAGACAGGTAGCAGATGTGTAACTGAAATGCAGCTTTGAGTGTTCCATGAAGCATCCCTGGAGCAATTTGCTGAAGGACCCTCTCTTCTCTGCAAACCAAGGCACCCAAGTAAGATGGGGCATCCAGTGCAATTCTTTCACACCAGAGTGGAAATCAAGAAACCCAATGAGACAAATTCAAGTATTGTATTTTAAGAAGCTGCTAACCCTTTTCTCAGATTTAAAAGCTACTGACATAAGCAACAGATGCCTGGATTTAGAAAACAGGTTGCATTCAAAAATGTGTTAAAACACAAGCATACGTAGCAAAACACTCGTTTTAGCACTGTAACAATATTATGTTTGTCTAACCTATCTTCCCCTCCTACTGTGTTAAACTAACCATTTCAGACTTGTTATTACTGAACTACACCGAGCCTTGGAAAAAACGTTATCTTTTTGTCACCTCATATCAAAGGAAAGAACAGTTCAGATCTCTCCCACTGTCGTTGGTTCAGAGCATTCCAGGTTGTTCCTGCATAATGTCAACAGAAGACTTATTTAGAAAGGATGAAAACATCTTTCGAGCTTCTAGTCCTGAGGCAATTTCAGTACTCATGAACAATTCACATCAGGATGAGAAAGCAGGCTTGACTTAAGCACGTTGCTTTCCTGTATCTCTCCAACTGAGGGATAAAAAAAAAAGAATCCAATACTGGAGCAGGATTCAAGCGCTTTTATTTTTGCTCTGCATTGTATGGATATGAAAAGGATCATACTGTCATGCTCTTATCTGGTTGCACAGATTAGAGATTGACATGTGCTTCTGCTCAGCTATACATCTGCCCATTTCCCTAGGTTTTGCAGTTGGGTTTTCCCATCTTTCTCTTCACATATACCACCAACAGTTGTTGTATTCCTTTTTAGGCCTGTTCCTGGGGTTATTTGGGGCACTGATTCAGAAAATGGCATCACATAGAATGCATCAACTCTAGTTTCTTAGATATGGTGATCATGATTTTCTATGGGTGAGCAGATGAAGACTGGCAGATAACATGTGTTCTATATCTTAGAAACTAGAGCTGATAGGAGAAAACTGGTGCCATTTTTGGAATCAGCAGGACTAATAAAAATAAGTCTACCATTTGAGGCACCAAAATGTGTGTTGGGAATCCGAGGGTTCTTCCACACAGCCCTATATCCCAGAATATCAAGGTAGAAAATCCCACAATATTTGCTTTGGACTGGGTTATTTGAGCCCACACTCAGATAATGTGGGATTTTCTGCTTTGATATTCTGGGATATAGGGCTGTGTGGAAGGGCCCTGAGCTGTTCAGCTAAAAAAATAACCCTCAATTGGAGTGATTCTGCCATAAATATAGCAAAGTGCTGGAAACTTCATAACCAGCAGAAACTTACATGTGATGAGCCAGGATAAGCTTCCATTCAACAGGGTGGCACAGGATTGCAGAGTCACAACTTTAGGTTCAAAATATTTATTGAAGTAAAAAGAAAACTATTCTAGATAGAAAAGGTCTTGGAGCTAACTAAGCTCTTATTCTAAGAAAGGTAAAAGGATAAAAAGTCATGCAGTTACATTTTGCCTGGAGAGAGGCAAAATGCGCCCTCACTGGAAAGAAAGGGCAGAGAGAGATAGCCAACAATGGAGAAAAAACACATGGCCAAACCCAGAGCAAAAAAAATACCTTTAAAGAGGAAGTTACCTCATACCTCACAGAAAAGAGCCCCCAGTGTGCAGTGGGTTAAATCCTTGTGCCGGCAGGACTGAAGACTGACAGGTCTGAGGTTTGAATCCGAGCAGAGCATAGATGAGCTCCCCCTGTCAGCTCTAGCTCCCCATGTGGGGATAGGAGAGAACTTTCCACAAGGATGGTAAAACATCAAAACCTCCAGGCGTCCCCTGAGCAATGTCCTTGCAGATGGCTAATTCTCTCACACCAGAAGCAACTTGCAGTTTCTCAAGTAGCATGAAAAAAAAATCTCACAGAGATTCCATTGCTACATCTTCAAAGGGGAGGAGACAGTGGTAAGCAAGAAGAGTAAAGACAAAGGCCCCTTCGGGGATAAACATGCATAGGAATGTGAGGGGAGGAATCCCTCACTCTAATCCTATTTCTAGCCTAGCTACTTATTGAGAACTAGAGACTTGATGATACAAGAGACTTGTGCAGTCCAGGGAAGAGACCCAACAATGTGTGCTGGCCAGTGTGATCAAATTCCCTGTTTGTCCATACATTAGACTTCAAGATATAGGATAGTTGGATTGTCTTTTGATAGGACAGACATAGCTGTGAGCGGAACACTAAACACTTCATTAAACAAAATTAAAAACCATCCCTCTCCAGTCTGAATGAAAGTTAAAACAAAAGAGTACTTACTAGTGTCCAAAAGAGGTAAATTGTGAAGAGTGCGACAGTGAGTGCAATGAGGCCGACGGCTTCTAGCCTACTACTAAAGTGCAGGTGGTCCACTGCTCCCCGCAGACACAACCAGCCGGAGATGGTAGCCAATGGAGTTATAAACAAGAAGCACACCATGTCCCCAAACAGAGTCCGTTTCTCGTGCTGAGGGCCCGGATTTTTTAGCCACTGCAGAAAGAATTAACACATAATTTAGTCTCAGTAGCAGGAGCGGATTTCAACTGACTTTAATTTCGTAAAAAGTTTAAACTTGCAATGCTTTGTTTTCTATTGCCCTGTTTGTATAATGGATGATCTAAAAAACAAAACAAAAAACGGGCCCATTCACAATATAGAATTAGAGTGCTATTATTCCACTTTGGGGCCGCCGGTGGCGCAGTGGGTTAAAGCGATGAGCTTTCCGGGCTGTATGGCCATGTTCCACAAGCATTCTCTCCTGACGTTTCACCCATATCTATGGTAGGCATCCTCAGAGGTTGGGAGGTCTGTTGGAAATGAAGCAAGTGTGGTTTATATATCTGTGGAATATCCAGGGTGGGAGAAAGAACTCTTGTCTGTTTGAGACAAGTGTGAATGTTGCAATTGGCCGCCTTGATTAGCACCAAATAGCCTTGCAGCTTCACAGCATGGCTGTTTCCTGCCTGGGGGAATCCTTTGTTCGGAGGTGTTAGCTGGCCCTGATTGTTTCCTGTCTGCATGCATGTGGACAATTTCAACAAAAAGGAGGAAACCATGAAAATGAACAAAATCTGACTACCAATATTTAAAGAAACTCTAAAATCAGGACAGTAAAGAAAGAACAACTCTCAAAAACAGGGGAATTCCAGACAGGATGGAATGCTTCTGGAACATGGCCATACAGCCTGGAAAACTCACACCACCCCGATGATTCTGCCCATGAAAGCCTTCAACAACATATATAAATTACTATTTTTATAATGATCATTTCTTCCATCCTGTTCTTTCCCCAGATTGGGAGTGAAACTAGTTTATATTTAAAATGACATTGCCAAAAATCCATAAGATACAAAAGCTAAAAACACAATTAACAATAACAAAAATTAAACCAGATGAAAATGTGCATCATTAAAATATACACATATCATTACAACAATTGGCAATATTCAGCGCATTATACAGTAAAGGTCTTACATAGTCACTCATCAAATGCCTGTCGGTATAGAAAAGTCTTTACTTGTCTACAAAGAGAAAGCAGGGAAAGTTCTGCAAAGTACTGCAAAAGTTGTCTGCAGTCCATCCCCATCAGAACATTCCTGTAAATATTTTTGTACAATGCCTTTTACTGGCAGATTTTGCAAATGCAAGGTAAAATTGAATAATTTGTAGGTAAATGGATTTGTTATTGTAACTAAAGGTTATAAACATAGCAAATCATAATACACATAACATATTTTCAAACCTATAAAATGTATAGAGCTCTGAGAGGCTGAGTAAAGGTACAAGTTAGGTATTTTTTCACATTTCTGCAATCTGACAGATCTGAGAAAGAAAGGAAGGAGAGTGGGGAAAAACCCTCTCAAAGCTGTTAGAGATTATGTTAAATTTGCTACTAGCTTCAAAAGAGATACCCAAAATATATTAGAAAGATCCAGATTATAATGGAGGTGTGAATTACAGTGACAGGGCCCATTTCACATAACCATGAAACCATAGCAGTTCAAGTAAAATAACAGTGCTATAATTTTCTAATATGAATGAGCCCCAGGGTGCAACTGTGCTGTAGAATTAATACAGTTTGACACCATGTTAATTATCATCACTCAATGCTGTGGAATCATGGGAGTTGTAGCTTTACAAGGTCTTTAGTATTCTCTGCCAAATATTTCTGGTGTCTGAGCAAACTATGTCTCCCTGGATTCCATAGCTTTGAGCTGGCCAACCACATTCTTCTAGGCACCTTTCACATGTCACAATTATATAAGTACCAGCTTGGGTACCCAGCGTTACCCAGGTTATTAGAAGAAGTCATGTTTTATTTTACAAAATGCACAAAGTTGTGGGCGAACTACAACTCACATCATGCCAGATTAACCCCCTGAAACTCTATCAATACTCAAAGTTTATCATGTTGAGCAAATCTGCTCTAGATGCATCATCGGTGGGGTTCAGTATGCTCTCTAGCTGCAGGATGAATTACAACTCCCACCATCGTGGGTCAGTCCTGTCAAATCCCTCCAGTATGTTTAGTTGGTCATGGGGGTTCTGTGTGCCAAGTTAGGTCTAGGTCCATCATCGGTGGTGTTCGGGGTGCTCTTTGATTGCAAGTGAATTTTAAATCCCAGTACCTACAACTAACAAATGCCAAGACTAACTCCACCCCAAATCCACCAGAATTCAAATTTGGACATATTGGGTATGCATGCCAAATTTGGTGCACATCCATTGTTGTTTTCATTCACAGTGCTCTCTGGATGTAGGTGAACTATAATGCCTATAAATCAAGGTGAATTCCCCCAAACCTCTCCAGTATTTTTCTTTGGTCATGAGGGTTCTGTGTGCCAAATGTAGTCCAGGTCCATTGTCAGTGGGGGTCACAGTGCTCTGACTTGACGCAGGATGAACTAAAACTTCCATCACGTGGAGTCACTCCCCCAAACTCCTTCAGTATGTTTAGTTGCTGCTCAGTTCTGCTCTGTTTTTTATGCAGACAGAGTTGAAAAGAGTAGGAAAGGGTTAAGGGAGAGGCAGTGGGTGGGATCATGCAAATTCAACATCAATGGAGAGAGTAAGAAACATTGAGAGTGGAGGACACATATAAAATCTAAAATGAAATTGTCCCTGAATGAAAGTGTTTCTTGGGTGGTGAGCAGTATGGTGGTGAGCAGTTTGGTGTTTGGGGAGGACATTGGCAAGGCTTTTGGACATGTTCATGGCACTTGCTAAAACCTGCAATGTCATTGGAGGGAGGGCTTTTTGTGGCTCCTCAGCACTGTGGGTTACAGCTGTTTGTGGAAGGGGGAGCCTGTCAGTGGAGGTGGGCACCCCAGCCACATACACATACATATTTCCACTTTCATTATGTATATAGATAATTCTGCTTTCGTCATAGTTCCATAGGGAGAGGGTACTTAGAATTCTCTGCCAGAGATCTATGGTGCTTCAACTGACTACAAAACCCATGGTTCCATGGAGTGTTGCCAAAGTAGATAAAGTGGGATCACGCTGCTATAATTGGGTAGTGTGAAATGGCCCTTAAGTCTTTTTCAATGATACACTAAATTGGCCATCACGGTTGATATATATGGAGACGCAGCAACTGGCATTGCCTTACTATAAAGGAGTAGGACAAAGTTGCCTTCTATCTTTTTCCAGATTGTAATTTGCAGCCAAAAGGCCAACTCGGTATCTCAAAGTATAGTTCACAACAAATGAGAGAAGGCAAGGCTGCAATTTAGTTTTCTAACCCAAGGGACTTTTCCTGGGTGGCTGAAGTGCTAAAAGTATAATATGAAGCCAATAATAAATTGCAGCAGCTTTAACAGAAGTTGAAGTTAGGAGAGGAAAGGGCACAATGTAAGAAGAAGGGAAGAGTGAGAATGTCACAAAGTGCAAACAAAATCAGAAGAATGAGCCAGAAAATAAAGGCTTCAACTCCTGGAAATGTACTAAGCGGGGCATTCTCTTACCTAGGCTTGCATCCAGTTTTAGCCATGCTCCGTAGACTCACATTATCTATTGTTTCAGTGGGGAATTGTGGTTTGAGTGTTTAAATAGGGCTTTGGGAGACCTGGGTTCAAACCTCTGTTTGGCCATGAAAATCCACTGGGCGATCTTGGGCAAGTCACACACTCTTTCACTCTCAAAGGAAGCTAATAGCAAACTCCCTCTGAACAAATCTTGCTAAGAAAACCTCTGTAAAGCAGCACCTTAGGGAAGTATCACACAAGGCAGGTAAATCATAATTAGAATAGGATAATACTGTATTTGGCTAGGACTTATCACATGACGTCGTTCCTTTTCTGATGTTCTCCCGATGGGAGGCTGTTTGGAAAGCGCTCTTTGCGTTCACACAAAATATCCATTAATGACCTCCTTTTGTTAATGAAACATTTGATTATGATTTTGGACATCTTTCAATATATGCAAATTGGGTTTTTGCAGTTGTCCATGCCTGTGTATGTAAAATAGTCAGAAAGCTCTAGTCATAAGAGAGTACTTTGTTGCCTGCTCCCATTCTGATGTTTTTTTTTTAATTGATGTGATATCAGGATGTATTTGGACATACTCTGAAACTCTCTTGATCATGAAGATATATTTCTTGCCTTGTAAGGAATTTCCTTTTTTAAAAAAGATACATTGGGATTTTTTTTGCATATGATATGTAGGGGGGGGGGGGAGAAGTAGCTGATGGCACTATTGCTGTTATTTAGATGGAAATTGTTTTTCCTATAATATATTAACCAATAATTCTAGTCAGGAATAGTTTGCATGGATTTTCCTTTGAAAATGTCTTAAACTCGAGTGAATGGTAAAGTATGTTATACTTATTTTGTACAAGTTGCCATCTGCATACAGATCTAGGCATGTTTCATTATTTTTGAATGTATATTTTCTGATTATATATTAGATTGTTTGTGTCAAATAATTAATAATAATAATTTTAAAATCTTGCAAAAAATGACCTCCTTTTGTAAAAGAAACACTTTCCAATAACCTCCTGCCGAGAGAGTAACAGAAGAGGAATAATGGTAAGGAGATGTTTATGATAATTTTTTGGCTTTGTACTGTTTTTATACTATATGTTAAATGTTTTAATAGTATTTATGATTGTTTTAATTGTCTTTTAATTGTTGCGGCATTGAATTGTTGCCAACTGTGAACAGCCTTGAGTCGCCTCCGGGTTGAGAAAGGCGGTATACAAAATGGTAAATAAATAAATAAATTTTATTTGGTAAGGTCCCATTGTTATCCTGCTATAATTGCAATTTACCTGCCTTGTATGATAGGGCCGCCAGAGTTGCTGTAGCCAGAAATGACTAGGGACCCGTCCAGACAGTACCTTTCTCCCAGGAGCTTCCATGGCAAACAGGAGGGTGGCCAGACGCCATTCCCTGTAAACATGGGAGCAATCGCTACAAAAGGCAAAAAACACAAGATTTCTAGGTGCAGGAATATCACAGTTTTGAGCCGAATATGTGGATCTTCGC